CTGATCCTGTCCTCTGGGGTATTAGCTACCCCTCCTAATCTGGTTTCATCTGAAAATTTGATGAGCATGCTCTCAATTCCATCAGCCAAGTCATTGATAAAGATGTTGAATTTCACTGGGCCCAGGACAGGACCCTGTGGCATCCCACTAGTCATGTCTCTCTAGGATGAAGAAGAGCTATTGGTGAATGTCCTAGGGTTTTTTTCAGGCAACCAAATACAAATCCACCCAATAGTCACATTGTCTAGCCCACATTTTATGAGTTTATTTGCAAGAATATCATGGAAAACCTTGTTAAAATCCTTACTAAAATCAAGATATACTACATCCACAGCATGCCCTTCATCTATGAAGCTTATAATACTGTCAAAAAATGAGATAAGATTAATCTGACAAAACTTCTTTTTGAAAAATCTATTGTGACAGAATAGGAGGATCTGGCTTCCTGGCAGCCAATTACAATTCAGGAAGACTGTGAAGGGGAGTATGGGGTATATAAAATGGAATGAATAAAAGCTGGTGTGGTTGTATGGGTGTGGGTGGGTGTCTGTGGAGGAGGCTGGAGGGAGGGAGAGAGAAAGTTTCAGTTAAGATCAGATAAGGATTCTGCCAGGAGAGGGATTTCAGTTCAGTTAGTCCAGAAAAGGCAGATTATTATTCCTACTGAGAGTGAGAGAATTGAGTACAGAGTATTTAAAAGCTTCACTATTGTTGTATAACCACATTAAACCTGAAATAACCTACATAAAATTATTTCTTTCTTAATGTTATTTAATAAATTTACTGTTTATTTTTTAATAGATGTCTCTGAGTGATTTCTACAAACAAAGGCAAGCATACTACCTAAAACACTGAACTGGTTTGTGGAATACTTGGGACTTTGGCCTTTATACAATTCAAATAGTGTTTATAAGTTAAAAGCAGGGCAAGTGCAAGTGACTAGGGGCCTTCTGTGGATAAGAGGTAAAGGTAACCTAAGGTTTGAGAGAAGGTCCCATCACACTCATGTTGACTTTTGGTGATCAAGGCATTCCTTTCTAAGTGCTTGTAGACTGTCTGTTTCATGAACTGATCTAGAATCTTTCCTGGTATTGATGTAAGGCTGATTGAGTGGTAATTGTTTGGGTCCTCCCCCCCCCCCCAGCTTTTGAAGATATCTTCAATATTTGCTGGGATTTATTCTCCAAGAATTTTCAAAAATTATTGCCAGTGGTTCTGAAATTATTTCTGACACTATAACTCTATGACAATAAACATATTGATAATAAATGTTTGAATGATTCTAACATTGTTTTCTACTATTAAGTGCATGGTTTCATGGACTCTGCAATAGATGTACTCAAATTCTTTGCTAAGAAAACTCCTGATTTCATTGGGCCTTTGCAGACTGCCAGAAATAGTGCAAATTGAGTCCACTTTTAGGGTTAGGTTTAGTGCTAGGGAATCATGGGAACTGGGTTTTTTTATGAGACATTGAGCCTTCTCTGTCAGAGAGCTCTGGTGCCACAATAAAATACAGTTCCCATGATTCCCTAACCTTAACCCTAACCCTTAAATTGGACTCAACTTGCACTATTTCTAGCAGTCTGCAAAGACCCTTTATCTGTTTGTTCTCCCTTTTCAGTTCTCTCTGCTGCAAATTTTATTTTTTCCAATCAGCTGTTTCTCAACTGGTCCTTAGTAGCAGCTTAGGGCCTTGTCACAATACAAAAAAAAAAAAAAAAAGACGAGAAGCAGCATGTTATAAGCAGCTTTATGCTAATCTTCCCTCATAATGTTATAGTGCAGTTGTTTCTTTTTTTTCTAATCTGAAAACAAAGATAGGGGGATGAGAGAGGAATAAAATCATGGGTGGCATTTTTCACCTTCATTCCAGCAAAGAGTTTTAGTGTAGTACTGTAATTTAAATTTAAATGCCAACTCAACATGAACATAAGTTTAAAAAACATCCCCCCTTAAATGTAAACATATGTTCTAAATACAGAGGCACCATATCCCATCTGATCATGGAAGCCAAGCAGGGTCAACCCTAGTTAGCACTTGGATGGGTAACTACCAGTGAATACCTGGTGCTGTGGGCTATATTTCAGAGAAAGGAACTGGCAAAATCAACTCTAATTATTTCTTGCCTAAGAAAACCCAATGAAATTCATGGTGTCACCATAAGTCAACAGGTGATTTGAAGGCACAGACACAAACATAAATATAAACATCATAAACACAAATATTTTTAGCTTTTTAATGTAGATATAATGCAATACTACTTTTTTACTAATTATACTAACTCTATTCATATATGAGGGTTGGCTATGCATCCCCCAGGAATGCAGTGGCTCAAGTAGTTAAGACACTGACTCTGTTGATTGCAAGATCAGCAGATTGGCAGTTCAAGGCCTGGGTGCTGCATGATGGGGTGAGCTCCCGTCACTAGTCCCAGCTTCTGCCAACCTAGCAGTTAGAAAGCATGCAAATGCAAGTAGATAAATAGGTACCAATTTGGTGGGAAGGTAAACAGCGTTCTGTGCAATCATGCTGGACACAGGATCACAGAGTAGTCTCTGACAAGGCTGGCTGTTAGGCTTAGTAACAGAGATGAGCATCGTCCCCTACGGTCAGGCATGACTTGACAATCTTGTCAACGGGAAATAGCTTTACCTTTACCTTATGCATCTCCCAGGCTTTGTTCCTCATATGTCTTGTCTTGGGTTTCATAATTAAATACTTGATATAGATGTACCATGTAAAATAAATAATAAAAATGCATGGCAACCCCTCACCATGAGAGTCTGGACCACAGAGGGACACCTGTCCTCTCCCCAGATACAAAATGCTGATATCATAGCCTGTTTTGTACATTAAGAAAAACCTGCTCCAGATGAGCAAATGCAAAGCCACTGTAGACTTTATTTTCATCTTTAATTGGCTCATTTCCACAAGCCTCTTGGTGCATCACAACTGTTGAGACAATCTGTGTTTACATGTAACCAGGGATGACACAAGCTGGGTGCCATCTCCACCACAATGAGTGTCAGTAGCATATGCAAACCTTAGTGCAAACCTGCTTGTGCATGCTTCTGAAAGCACTCAATTGTTTTAGTGGCATGCACAAATATTGACTCATGCTGCATTTTGGATGTTGTGGGGACTCATACATGACAGCCTCAGTGTATAGCACTCACAGTTTGAAGACATGGTTTAGGCATAATGCAAACACTGTAGTAAAAAACCAACATCCATTTCTGTATCCAGATATACAATGTAAACAAAGATTATGAACTGCTTATCTACCTTTGTTATTCAAAGTCAAATTGCATTTTAAGGGAAATGCAAATGTATATTTCTTCTAGTATGTTTTTTCTCCAGGCATGCAAGCATGCATTTTCTTCAAAGCTTTGAGCCTGAGCCATCAGACATGCAAGTAAAACCTATATTTACCTCCTGATGACCAATTACAAAACAAAAACCATATTCAAGGGAAGGCAATTCATATTTAAATATTTAATAAGAAAAAATATTGTTCAAATTAGAACAGATTTATTTAAATAAATTCAGTATGTAATTCAGTGCGTGTGTAAATTTTTCACATAAAAATATTGAGGAGGAGGAGGAGGGATCAGGGCCTCCAAGTCTTGTGCCCCCCCCCCTTGAGTAATTCTTGTGCCCTCCTGTTTGAAAACTACTAATGTAAAGCAATGGTCCTATGTATGGTGCATCAGTGTCAGAAAAAAAAACACAGCCTATAGTTGGCATAAACTATGACTGAAAAATAGCTTCAGATTGTGGTTTCAGATCCTGGTATGTTGACATAAAAAAAAAGCCACCAAAGTTTGTGGGCATTCTGGGATATTATTTAGGCACAGCACAAAGTGATGGTTAAGCCGAATAAACCATGGTGTAGAGCTACATTACCTAAAACTTTAGCTTCAGTGCTTGCTATTCTCTAAATGTCTAACATCCCTAGCTATGGAAAAAATACTAAAAGCATGATAGGTAAAGTATCTGACTGGAGCTAACAGAAAAGAATGTAAGAAATGCCAAACAAATGGAGCAGAGATGCAAGAAACTCAAAGAATGCCTAATTGAGTTGGCAAACATACTACAGGAGCACAGATACAGCAGCAAGTGAGAAATGGTGAGGCCAGAAGAATGTATATTTATTTTGGCACTGATGGATTATTAACCAACTTTCTTTCTTTCTTTCTTTCTTTCTTTCTTTCTTTCTTTCTTTCTTTCTTTCTTTTTTCTTTTCAGTTACTAAAGAACTTTATCCTACTTGGAAAGTTAGGATATAAAGGATTGTATTATCCTCCCACTCATATTAAAATGATACAACATCAGAATCAGTCAGCAGCACCAATAGGATCTGTTTGAAAACAAGCAAAGATATTCTTCCTGCCAGATGTTTGCTTCATGGACTCTTATCTCTTTTGACTCTCTCTTTCTCTTTGTGTGTAAGTTTTGATAACAAATAGGAAATTAATCTTGCTATCAGGAAAAAGAGTTTCAGTTCAAACAGAGCTCTATGGCAACTAGAAATTGATTGTATATGGACACTGACTTACAAAGCTTAATGGAATCTGATCATTCAAAATATTACAGGCACAGATAAAGGTTACAGTTATGGCTAAAGAATAAAATATTAAAACAACAATAACGACAACAACCAGTAGTTGAAATGTAGCTTTTACCAGAACAAAGACGAAAAATGCCATCCATGACTTTTCTTCTTCCTCCATGTCTATCCCTAAGCTTGGGAGAGAAGGAAACAACTGCATTATTTTTGCAGTACTCCGTTTTTCATCCAAATCACCCAAAACACTTATCTTGATTTTCCTTTCTTCCTCCTTTATCATCTAACCTCCTTATCTTCCCATTTTCTTTACCTTATTGCTTCCCATGTGAATCCCAGAAAACATTGCAGTGTTAAGAGTTCGAAAATTGTTTCCAAGAGCAAACGTGGAACACAGGAGGATATAAAGAAGACTGCCCATCACTTGAGAGCCAGCATGGCATAGTGGTTTGAGTGTTGGACCATGACTCTGGAGACCAGGGTTCAAATCTCAGCTCAGCCATGAAACCCATTGGGTGACCCTGGGCACATCACATGCTCTCTCTCAGGGGAAGGCAATGGCAAACCTTCTCTGAAAAAATCTTGCCAAGAAAACCCTATGAGAGGGTCACCATAAGTCAGAAAGCACAAAAACAACAACAACCCCATCACTTCCAAGCTGCCCTTATGTGGTTTCAAAATCTTTAACATTGGAATTAACAAAGATATTATACTGGCTTATGAACTAAAATAAAGGAACATTTTATAGCTATTTGAATGTATTAAATTGTCTGATAGGGATATTAATAATTGGACACATGCTTATGTGATTTCTTAATGGATTTATAATATTTTCAATTGAATCTGTAGTATTTTTAATCCCCATTTGGACATTTTATAATTATGACTCCATTGAAATTCTCCATAAATGGGCTTTTGACTGAAAAATTCTTCTTTGAAGAAAAATACTTATTTACATATTTATTCTTCTTCTTTTACCCCAGCTTTCTTCCTTTCCACTTCATCTGAAGTTGTGAGGTAGATCAAACTGAAAACGTGCAAGTAACCCAAGGTCACATAGTGAGTATTGTGGCTCCATGAGGACTTCAAACTGGATCTCCTAAATTTCATAGAATCATAGAGTTGGAAGAGACATTTAGTATTCTCTCCCCATGCAGGAATTCACAACACTCAGTACACTATTCTAACAAAACAAAAAAAAATGCATTAAATTGACACATTTCAAAATCAAATTTGTAACAAATTTCACATTTTCTATTCATAACTATCTGTCTTATAGTTTAATGAGTTAGGTTTGCAATGATTTGTCATTGTAATTTTGTTGGGTTAGTAAAATTAAGCAGACTTTACTATGTTCATACAAATATAGTGAATATTTACCATAGTTTTGGTAAATGTTATCAAACATGGTGAATAGTACCAAATAGTAAATGTTTATATTTGTAGAACTGAATGTTAATGGTTTAGGTTAGGATGTTTGGATAGATGTATATTTGAGTCAAACGAGGTTGATAAATAAAGGAGAAAGTTTTTGAAATTATTTTGTTAAGATATTTACTTAAGATGAACCCATGTGGTGAAGTGGTTAGAGTGCTGGACTACAATTTTGCGGACCAGGGTTCAATTCTCAGCTCAGCCATGAAACCTACTAGGTGACCTTAGGCAAGTCACATGCTCTCAGCCTCTGGGGAAGGCAATGGCAATAATAATAATAATAATAATAATAATAATAATAATAATAATATTTATTTCTATACTGCCAATGGTTACCCAATCCGGGCGGTTTACAAGTTAAAACAAATTACAATAGTAAGATATCCCCCCCCCTTAAAACAGTATTAAATAGTGATACAATTAAAACATCAAAGAATATAAAATGAATTAAAATTTAACAATTGGCAATTAAGAAATCATAGCAGGTAAACTCCTTGCTACTATTAAAGAGGAGCCCGGATTGAAAGAAGAAGGGAACTGGCCAGGGCCGGGTCATTTAGTCTGGAAAGGCCTACCGGAAGAGATCCGTCTTGACAGCTTTTTTGAAACTGTCTAAAGATGTTAATTGACGGATCTCATCCGGCAGGCCGTTCCAGAGTCTGGGGGCAACAATAGAAAAGGCCCTCTGGGAAGTCGTAGAGAGCCTCGCTCTTTGAGGCTCTAAAAGGTTTCTCCCAGAAAAAAGGAAGGCATGGGGAGGATTATACGGGAGGAGGCGGTCTCTGATATAGCTTGGA